GCCGGAGAAATTCGATATCACTCTTCGACAAGGCGAAGGTCGGGCCTTTACGCAACTCGTCAAGCTGGTTATTATTGATGAGATCCATCTTTTGCACGATGATCGCGGACCGGTGTTGGAGAGTTTGGTCGCTCGTTTGATTCGGCAAGTGGAGACCACGGCAGAACCCATTCGTCTTGTGGGACTTTCCGCAACCTTGCCCAACTACACCGATGTGGCGACCTTTCTTCGAGTGAAACCCGACAAGGGTCTGTTCTTCTTCGATGGTACTTTCCGTCCAGTGCCACTCCAGATGCAATACATTGGCATCACGGAGAGGAATGCGTTCAAGCGCTTTCAGCTTCAAAACGAAATTTGCTACGAGAAGTGTCTTGACCAACGACGCAACAATAGTCAGCAGGTCATCATCTTTGTGCACAGCCGAGCCGAGACTGGAAAGACGGCAAAGGCGCTCCGTGATTTGGCGTTGGACCGTGACGAGCTTGCAAACTATGTAAGGGATGGAAGCGGAACGCAAGAAATTCTTCGAGAAGAGGTGAATTCTGTAAACAACGCAGATTTGAAGGAGGTCCTGCCGTATGGCTTCGGTATCCATCACGCCGGAATGGGGCGCGAGGACCGCGAGCTTGTGGAGGACTTGTTTGCCAGTCGGCATATTGCCGTCCTTTGTTCCACGGCCACCCTTGCTTGGGGTGTCAACTTGCCAGCTCATGCTGTCATTATTAGGGGAACCCAGATCTATGATCCTTCGAAGGGACGATGGGCTGAGCTGAGCCCGCTTGATGTTTTGCAGATGCTGGGTCGAGCGGGACGCCCACAATACGACAAAGAGGGAGAGGGAATCATCCTGACGAGGCACACGGAACTGCAGTACTATTTGTCGCTGACCAATCTGCAACTGCCTGTCGAGAGCCAGCTCATCAAGTGTCTCGCTGATCACTTGAACGCCGAGGTTGTGCTAGGAACAGTTCAGTCCATCACAGAAGCTGTGGAATGGTTAGGCTACACATTCCTTTACGTTCGCATGCTTCGGAACCCGGCACTGTACGGTATTCACAACCCTGAACAGACACTGAAAGAGGACCCCACACTCAAGCGTCGGAGGATGGATCTGGCCCACACGGCCGCCTCAGTGCTGGACAAGCACAACCTTATTCGATATGATCGCAAGAATGGTGCTTTGCAGTCGACTCCTCTCGGACGTGTAGCCAGTCAGTTTTACATTTCCCACACGTCCATGGCCGTGTACACGAGACACATGAGGCCTTCCATGTCTGACATTGAACTGTTGCGGTTGTTCTCGATGAGTGGGGAGTTTTCACACATTACAGTGCGGGAGGAGGAAAAGCTGGAACTAGCGAAGCTTGCTGGCAAAGTTCCGATCCCAGTCAAGGAAAGTCCTAGCGAACCACTTGCAAAGGTCAACATCCTTCTTCAGGCGTACATTTCTCGGTTGCGTCTAGATGGCTTCGCTCTCATGGCGGATATGGCCTTCGTGCAGCAGTCCGGTGCTCGCATCATGAGGGCACTCTTTGAGATTGCGTTGCGACGGAAATGGGCATCACTTGCTCGACTCTGCCTGAACTTTGCCAACATGGTGGCTTACAAGATTTGGAGAAGTCAATCTCCTCTGCGACAATTTAAGAATGTGCCCAACGTGGTTTGCCGGAAGCTGGAAAGAAAAAGTGATATCGAGTGGTCGCGCTATGCCGACCTCACGCCGTCGGACCTCGGCGAATTGGTCGGCGTCCCCAAAATGGGACGTGTTCTACACAAGCTAGTGCACCAGTTTCCGAGGCTCGAATTGTCAGCCCAAGTGCAGCCCATCACAAGGTCAATGCTTCGAGTGGAACTGACACTTATCCCAAGCTTTCAGTTTGATGTAAGCGTGCATGGCTATGTCCAGCTCTTCCACATCTTGGTTGAAGATGTGAACTGTGAGAATATTCTTCATCACGAAATGTTCTCGTTGAAGAGCAAGGGAGACGAAGAAGAGCACGTTTTGGTTTTTGCGGTGCCCATCCTGGAGCCACTGCCGCCGGCTTACTTTGTCAGAGTGATCTCGGACCGATGGCTGCATTCGGAGGCCGTTCTTCCTGTATCTTTCAACAATATGATCTTACCGGCAAAGTTCCCTCCCCCGACCGAGTTGTTGGATCTACAGCCGCTACTGCCGAGGGCGCTTGGTGATGGAACGCTATCCAACCTGTACTCGTTCAAAGAATTCAACCCTATTCAAACCCAGAGTTTCCACGAACTCTTCAAGACCGACAGAAATTGTTTGATTTGTGCTCCGTCAGGTTCGGGCAAGACTGTTTGTGCGGAATTCGCCATCCTTCGCATGCTCTCGACGGACCCTGACGGCAAATGTGTCTTTGTTGCTCCCACTGAAGAGATTGCCGGTCCCGTGTTTGATGGGTGGACTCGTCGGTTTGGAAGCATCCTCCGTCAAGGCAAAATTGTACGTCTGACTGGGCAAACCATTCCTGACTTGAAATTGCTAAGTGAAGCAAAGATCGCTGTGTGCTCAGTGAAGACTTGGGATATTCTGAGCCGCAGATGGAGGCAGAGGAAGGCTGTTCAAGCAGTTTCGTTAATAATCTTTGACGAGCTGCACTTTCTCGGCGGAGAAAGGGGTCCAACAATGGAGGTAGTTATCTCGCGGATGCGATACATTAGTGGGCAGCGGCAACAGGACGATGCTGATGACAAGCTACGCATCATCGGCTTGAGCGCTTCACTCGCCAATGCCAGGGAAATTGGGGAATGGATGGGAGTGCCGAACAAGAGTCTTTTCAACTTTTCGCCAATGGTTCGACCGTTGCCACTTGAGATATACTTCCAGTCCTTTGAACAAAACAACTATTCAGGTCGGCTCATGGCCATGGCGAAGCCAGTGTACGATGCGGTCGACCGGCACATTGACGGCTCTTCTGCCATTGTTTATGTTCCCAGCCGACGTCAGGCACAACTCACGGCGATTGACATTATGACATATCGCGAAAGCCGAGTTGGCAAGCCGTTCCTTGGGGAGGGTGCAACACCGGAGGAAATTAAAAGCATCACCAGCGATATCCTCGACCCTACCCTCCAGCAAGTGTTGCCGTCTGGGATCGGTTTTCTGTTTGATGGGATGGTCGAATCAGACTGGTCCGCTGTCATCGATCTTTTTCAGAAGGGGGCCCTTCGAGTTTTGGTTTGCCCTGCGGATCTCTGTTGGAAGTCACCGTGCGTCGCTCACTTGGTCGTCATTATGGGCACCGAGTTTTATGATGGTCGCGAGAAAAGGCATGTTGACTACCCAATCGTTGACCTGCTGCACATGATGGGCCGGCACAAGACTGATTCCAGCGGGAAGTGCGTGTTGATGTGCCACACTCCGAAGAAGGAGTACATCAAGAAGCTTGTGTACGATCCCTTGCCTGTGGAATCGCACTTGGATAGCTATCTCCATGATCACTTCAATTCGGAAATTGTCACGAAAACGATCGAGACGATGCAAGATGCAGTTGACTATTTGACCTGGACATTTCTCTACCGACGACTGCCGAAGAATCCAACTTACTATGGTCTTCGCGGAACTTCCAGTGTCTATTTGAGCGAGCACTTGAGTGAAATGGTTGAGACCGTCCTGGGCGACCTTGAAGAGAGCAAATGCTGCAAGCTCACGGACGAGGGTGAGGTCTCACCGCTAAATCTTGGCATGATTGCCGCTTACTACTACGTCCAGTACCGCACAATCGAGCTGATCGAGTCTTCAATCACAGCGAAGACAAAAATCCGTGGCATTCTGGAAATCCTCTCGGCTGCCTGGGAGTTTGCCAGCCTTCCAATCCGCTTTGGCGAGGAAAAGACTTTGAAGATAATGGCTCGAACTCTCACTCACAAACTCCCCGATGATGCTGCTTACGACTCGAACACGAAAGCCTTGATTCTGCTTCAAAGTCACTTCAGCAGGAAACCGCTGTCGGCCAATCTGCGTGCGGATCAAAAGACAGTCGTTCTCGATAGCGTCAACTTGATTCAGGCAATCGTCGATGTTATCAGCAGTCAAGGTGATTTAAAGCCGGCACTGGCTGCGATGGAGCTGAGCCAGATGATCGTCCAGGGTTTATGGAACAAAGACAATCCTCTGAAACAGATTCCACACTTCACCAATGAGATCATCAAGCGCTGCGAAGCTTATGAGGGAGAGGATTCTATTGAGAGTGTCATTGACATCCTCACTCTGGATGACGACGTCAGAAACGACTTACTCCGGCTGCCCGACGAAAAGATGGCGGACGTTGCTGTCTTCTGCAACTCCTTCCCGAATGTTGAGGTGAGCTTTGAGGTCAAGGATCCAGATGATGTCACAGCTGGCGATCCGGTGCAGATTGCAGTCAATCTGGAGCGTGATATTGACGACGAAGACATGGACGAAGAGGATCTAGCCGATCTTGGCAAAGTTTCGTCAGCATTGTTTCCAGGAGAAAAAAGAGAATCACTTTGGGTTGTGATTGGAGACACGCAGACAAACTCGCTCTTGTCACTCAAACGCGTGAATCTGCGTCACAAACAGTCGGTAGTCCTTGAGTTCTTGGCACCTGAGGAAGCTGGAGACATGGAGCTGACGCTTTTCTGTATGAGCGATAGTTACATGGGCTCCGATCAAGAGTACAAATTGCCTCTGAGTGTTGCTGCAGCTGAAGATGATGACGACGACGATGATGATGATGATGACGACGAAGAGGAAAGTGAAGAGGATTAAATATTTAGTATGGCAGTTCGACCCCTCTATATCGGTACAAGCAATTAGCTAGTTCCCTTGCAACATCAAACAATGACACAACCCTTTGATAATCTGATTTTGGTTGCTCGAGCACATAAGATGAACTTCTCTGAGTGTAATGGCAGTGCCAGTGTGCATCCGGGTGCTTTCCCGAGGAGACCGCAACAACTGCCGTTCGCGCGAAACACCCCTTCATTCGTTGAGTCCACGCACCATCACAGCCGTCCCCTCATGGATAGCCGTTGCTACCACTGTAGAAATTGAAGTTCAATCCATCCGAGAAGAAGCCATGGCCCGAATTGTACATCAGATCATCGTCGTCTTCAAAGCGGAGAGGGGGCAATGGTCGATGCACTGGTGGGGGGTAAGCGGTCGCACGATGGTCTGGTGGTGGATAATTGTAGTACTCCGGAGCACTGTGGTGCGAAGGAGCAGTGCTGTGGTGTGAAGGTGGAGCGATGTGGTGTGAAGGAGGCGCACCGTGGTGCGACGGGGGAGCGCTCCGATGTGTATCTAGAAGCGGCAACAATAGCGTTAGAAGGGCTAAAGATCCGCAGTAATCTTCCAACCAACCAACGACTTCCTTACCAAACAGATGGGAGGAACGGAAAGAGGAGGAAGGAGCTCCAAAGCTGTGACGGAACATTACTCGCTGGCCACCAGCCTTATCGGCAGCATTGGCAGCGTCCTCGACGGTTCCAATCCGGACTGCCGTTTCGAATGCTGAAGGAAGCGAGGAGCTCAACGTTTCATAAGTGGGCCTGGCAGCCGTCGCTGTCAAGGGGGGTGGGTATTCCGCCATCTGCTTCTGCACCGTTTTGTGGCTTGTACGGCTGGCTGCATCCAGCTTGGCCTGATCCTCGCGAAACTTCTTGATCTGCTCCTTATAGACAGCACGCTGTCCTTGTTCCTTTTCGACGTATGGAGCCCGTTCCTTGGCGCTAGCGTTTCTCCACATTTCCCTGCAAGAGAGAGATAGAGAGAGGTACATGTACGAGAAAGGGTGAGTTGATCCCAATCACGTACAACAAAATCAGGTCACCAGTGCTGCAAGCGACCTACCCGAGCAGACGACTGACATCTGTGTTGCTCATGTCGGGGTTGTCGAGCTTGACCTGGGATCGTCTCTTTTGCGAGAACATCAAGAATGCAGACATCGGACGCTTGGGTGCCAACGGATGCTTCTTTGCCCGGCGTTTGGGAACTGACCACGGTCCCTTGTACGCTGCCTTCTCTCTGACAAATCGAACCTTATCGTTCCTGGCCACCTCGTCCCAGTAGGCTCTGCGGAGAGGAGAATGGGATCTGTCAGAAGAACGAACATAAACGTTACAAACAAGCACGGTGCAACTGATTCGATACCTGTCATTGGTAGAAAGACTTCTCCATTCAGATGCTACCAACTTGAGCAACTCGTCGCTCTCCTGAAGGCATCGCAAAAGCAAACAATTTTGTGAGCGTCAAAAGATGCAGCGGGCATCCTTGTTGCGACCCAGTCTTACCTCCACAATGCCATTTGCCTTCATAATCTCGAGCTTCTTGCAATCGGTAAAGCACATAAAGGCGCTTCGAGGAGCCGTGGGCGGGCCACCATTGTTTGGACTACTGATAGTGGTGGTAGTCGGGGCGGCTTTCAACTTTGCAGTTGGCCCCGCATATCCCAATGTTGGGAGAGTTGCATCGTTCTCTTGCGATCGGAGAACCTTGAAAGGCAGCAAAAGGTTGAGTGAGTCAGCAATTGGAGTCGACAAGTCCGGAGAGTACGTATCTAATCGGTTGTGTTGATAGCAATGCATACACTAGTGTTCACATACCTTTCGAGACGACATGATTGTCTCCTTGTTAGTGCGTCCGACAGAGTAGGAACACACAAGGAGAGGAGAGAGAATGAAAGAGGCGATTGATTTGTTGTCGTGTGGCTAATACATTGATGGATTGTCTCTTTTCTTTGCTTTGTATTGCCAGAAACAGGACGAATGTTAAATTATGAGAGAAAGCAAGCACACGATATTTTGAGAGGCTTCAAAACACCATGATTCGACCGCCGCCGCCCTTGGATGCGTTGCTTCTGTCTTTGGATCTGGAACGCCCTTTTCCCGCTTGAATTTCGAGTGCATGAATCCATCCAATTGTCGGCCTGCGTTAGAGATCTTTCTTTTGATCCTTGAGACTGAAGAGTTGATCCCCGCATCTTGTTCTGGGGACCCGTTCGTTGAGTTTGTTGAATGTTTGTCCTCCGCAATCGGAGCTCTGTGCCGTGGGAGTCAAATCCAGATAAATGGTCCGGGAATTCTGAATCATGAATGACGTCACGCCGCCTCCCTCCAGCAACCAAATCGTTGCTCGTTGGTCGATGCTCGATCACCGACCATCATTCCTCCGTCTTCCACACACAAACATTCGCTATTGTTGTTGCTACCCTATAGTTTCTGGGTGCAACATTCGATTAGCTGTAGCAATCCCTATGACCAAGAGTGCGAGAGCCTGTTGTTCCTTGGCGTTGGTGGCGTTGAGCAGTAGGTATTGTGTAACATCTGCCTTCGTTCGAACCATAGTTCCACTACACCGTCATCATCCTTGCGTAGCCATGAGCAGTGACGCTACCACCACAGTTGATGTGGCCGACAATCTTCAATACGTTCGAGGCAAGATCCAGTCGACATGCGAAAAAGTGAATCGACCCGTGGAGGATGTCCGATTGGTGGCTGTCAGCAAGACCAAACCACTGGAATTGCTGCAGCAAGCCTACGATGCAAATCAACGGATTTTTGGAGAGAATTATGCGCAAGAATTGGTCGAAAAGGCCGGTCAAATGCCCAAGGACGTGCAGTGGCATTTCATTGGCAGTCTGCAATCCAACAAGGCCAATGCGCTCGTCAAGTCTGTCGTCCCAGTATCAGCTCAATTGACTGTGGAAACTGTGTCATCATTAAAGCTAGCCAACAAACTGAACAATGCCATGGAAGCACTTGAGGAAGCAGATTGTCCCAAGGACAAGAAACTCAATATCTTTATTCAAATCAATACGTCGGGAGAAGAGTCCAAGAGTGGAATTGAACCCAGTGAAGCGGTGTCACTCTGCAAAGAAATCTCCGACAAATGCAATCGTCTTTTCATTCAGGGTCTCATGACGATTGGAGCCCCAGGCGATCTCGGTTGCTTTGACACCCTGATACAGTGTCGCGACCAGGTGTGTTCGGACCTAGGCCTGGAATCGTTGGAAGTCTCCATGGGCATGTCGGGCGACTTTGAAGCAGCCATTGAAAGAGGGGCTACCAATGTCCGTGTTGGAAGCACCGTCTTTGGAGCCAGAGATTATTCCAATAAGAATTAGACACTGTTCTCTACTTTGACTAGAAGTAATATTGTGATAGAGATGCACCCATAGCTGTTTGGTTCGTCGGCTAGTAGACAAGTAAGAGTAAGTCAGATATTGCTGTTTTATGCAACAAACTATGAAAGGATTATACTACAACGCTGGCTAGATAGCAGGCTAATTAGTATCTAGGCCGTTTGATGGGAGGCCCGTCATTGTGATGCTGGTCTCTATATCGTCGGTTGGAGGAGTCGTGTCGACCATAGTAGCTGTCCCTGCCTTGGTGGTGATCCCTGCCTTGGCTAGTGTCTCGACGATGGCGATCCCGTGACTGGTGATGATCTCCTCGGCCGCTGTGACGTTGGTGTTGTTGCGGATCCTGAGAATTGTTGCCCCCACGAGCTGGTCGAGGCTCTCGGTTGGAGGATTTTGTGGTATCGGTGGAGGGTTTGGCGTCGGTGGGTTCCGCTTTGATTTTGACAGCAGTATTATTCTCCTTGTTACTTTGCAGGAGCAGATCAAAGGAGAATCCATCTCTGGGAGGAGCCCCACCTCCATCATCCCAGCCTTCGACAGCCCATCCAGCAGCTCCAAACGCTTTCGACCCATAGCCCGCTTTCCATCCACTGCGTCCAAATGCCACTGCCAAACCGGCGTATTCTCCCGACGACGACGAGGATGACATTCCAGCTCGTAATCCGACATGTTTGGGTCCTGCCGATGTCGGTGGCATGCGTTTTTGTTCGGCCTTGGGCGTGGCCAATTTAACCTCGACACTTCGATTCCCAATTTGCAATGGCTGTTTTTCAATGGCTCGCTGGGCCCCATTGGATCCATTTTCGAATGTCACAAATCCAAAACAGCGAGACCGATTGGTGACTTGATCAATCATGACAATGGCGTCGACGACCGGACCATACTGTTCAAATATTTTCCTCATTTCGTCCCGATCGACATGAGCCGGCAAACCTCCCACAAAGACTTTGTTGTGCAATTGTTCCGGAGTCAATTCGGCATTGCTGGCGCCACCGCCGCCGCCGCTGTTATTGTTGTTTGGAGCTCTAGTGTTGTTGCTGCCGTTGCTGCCGTGTTGACTGGTGCGATCATTGGACGCCGCTTGTTGCTTGTTGCCATCGTGAATGGAAGGAGGCGCCACTCCCCGCGCTTGGGCTCGTTTTACATCGACAATCTTATGGTTGATCTCGTGCTTGGCTTCGGCCATCACCAAATCCACCGTGCTCTGCTCTCGGAATACCACAAACGCAAACCCACGAGGGTCTCCCGTCACACGGTCTCGCATCACTTCGACAGAAACGACAGGGCCTGAGGATAGATATAGCATTAGAAATAGAGGATTGGAAAAGACAAACAAGAAAGAGCAAAGAACAAGAAAAATACAGTCAGAGAAATTTCCTTCAGAGAGCTGCTCCAATCTTTTTTATTAAGAAATTTTAGGAATCCACGCAACCTACCATACTGCTCAAAGTGCCATCGCAAGGATTCTTCCGTCGTTTGCCATGACAAACCTCCCACAAAGATCTTGCCTGCGTCAAGGGAACAGGATTTCGAAGGATACGCGTTGGTTTTGTGAGGGATCAAGACGGAATCGAATCAACTCAAGCATCATCCAGGTGCATCAAGTTACACACTTACCCTGATCAAGGGCTCCTCCTGAGGGAGCAGGCTTCTTGGCAAAGTACGATCCATCGGCCATGGTCGTCCTTCAGTTTGGGTCGAGAGTTGAGTTGGGCTTGGGCCTTGAGCTTGGACTTGGGGGTTGGGCTGCTCTTCGATTAAGGTTTGGAGTGTGTGTGCGTCGTATTCTACTTCAGCAAAGGGTTAAGGCTACGACTGTAATCAGGTACATGCACGATCAAAAGCGAGTGACGAGTCTGAGTCGTGTCCTCATCAGTCATGAATGCTTCCTTTCTGTTTTCTGTGAAACAGAAAGGTGGTGACCAGAGACGCAGAGACGAGACTGGTAAGAACGGCAAGAACTCCAAAAAGAGCTTGCCGCGGCAGCGGGTTGGCTGCGGGGCTGGGTTCCGCCGTTCCGCCGAGAAAGCAACGCAAGAGTTCCAGGAGCTTCATCACCCACCCCACACAAACATACAAACCAGCAGCACCAAGGAACAGCTATAACTAACTAACTAAGGATGCTTCAGACTTCAACACAACTAACTGTGGCTTTGGCTTTGGCAGCCATGAAAGGATAGAAGTCGCGGGATGCAAAAGCTGTGGCTATGGCACCCGTGCTGCGGGTGTGTTCGTCAGCTGCAACGTCGTAGCTTCCAGGTAACTCGTACGGGTAGGTACTTATCAAAAGTGTGTTGGGAGTTGGGAGGCATTGGGCAGGCTCGAACAAGCTAGACTACCATTGTTTGCCCCCATGGACTACTGAACGAGAAGTTAGCCAGCCAATTTGCAAGAGAAACCGCAGCCGTCCACAAATAAAATATTACTTTGCTTTGGCTGGGATCGATCTGGACGGACGGAAGCAACAACCCTCATTTGCAAAAACGTCGGGATCGGGATGCAACTGCCCACTTCAAGACCCTTTGAAGTTTGAAGTTTCGAGGCATCTGCAGACTGCAGATTGCAAATTGAGGCCGCAGGGCGATTCGATTGGATTCACTCCAAGGTTTCCCAAGTTGTCAATGATCAACATTGTCTAATGATTAATGATTCTCCTCGACCAAGGTGGAAGCAGCGTCAAGTGTCAATAAATGACGCATGCAGAATGATGGCGAGTGTCCAGTGGTAGAATAAGCAGCTACCATACATGACCTACAAGGAAGTACAGTCAACATTCAGATATATATACTGGGGGGGATTCAGGAATTCAGTAAATATAACAGCGAGAATAAATATTGATTTTATCCCTAACCCTAACTATTCCTGTAGAATTGTACGTGCTCTAGTACTAAAATAGGGTTAGAGTTAAAAATGTTGGAACTGGAGTATTCTTAAATATTATAGAGCGAATAAATACAAGATTATAAATATAAGCGAGCGTTGACTGTACTAGCTAGACCCACATGTAATGTACTAATACGAGTACTGGTACTCGAGTATTGCATACAGTAGTAATATCAATCACACTCCGCATAACCAGTCGCGACAAACTACATACACGTACCCGGAGTACAGAACATAATACACTACTATTTTAAAATAGTCTAACTAAATAAGCGCCAACATGTCAACCAGAAAGCAAAGAGGCCGTTAAATCTTAATTTTGCTAGAGCTGCGATGCGATATATGTATTAAAATATGATACCGGTAGCTGATGCGATGATAAGTAAGACTAAGACTTAGTGTCGCCACTAAATGAAAGCACTAACTTACTATTATAGTAGTGACCAAACCCATGCGCATGATCACATTGGATCTCATCACATTGGTGTTGCCACTGTAGAAAGCACTGACTCAGCCACAGACAACTAAGCTTGCGAACTCCAGTACAGTACATGTACCATCATTAGTTCCCGCAGTCATTGCGAGTTCAGCCAGACAGCCAGAGTGAGAGTCGAATGTCGAGTCAGCTGTCGAATCGAATCCGCGATCCTTTGACCAGCTGGTTTGCTGGTATGTCGAGAACCCCAGCGAATAATAGTAGGTTGAGAAGTTGAGAACGCCGACTACTCAAGATCCGCAGGTAGTCTAATTCCTTTTTGGCCAAGGCCACCGAGCTGAGTTCTTTTACTGTGGAATGCAGAATGCAGCTCCAGCTAGCTGGCTCTTTGTTGCGATACTACAACATAAGCTTTGCGATACCGGTACAAACACCGGTAATGGGTACCGTAAAAGTACCTGTACTCAGTGCTGAGTGCTGTACCGCTACCGGAACGCGGAACGTTTACCGTACCGTACGGTACGGCGTGCGCTACTGAAAGGTTACTGGTATTAATACGTCCTGGAGTACCATGGTACTGGGTTGAAAATTAAGTAATTGTTCACACACACATTGAAGAGGGCACAGGAGTTCGCAGTCATGGGTGCTCTAAATCCTATCACTCAGTTTCTCCTAGGTCAGAGTCATGTAACCCTTGTTCAGACCCAGATCAGAGATGATTCCGGTGACCGTCCACTGAAGTTACTCTTTGAGCTCGTACGGAATTAACGCAAAGAATACGTTTGGTCACAGTCCTTAGTACATGTAGTTCGCTTGATCTTGAACGTAATGGGTACTGAGTAAGACTTACGCAATGGGTAGCAGGACATTCTCGAGGCCATCGGACGTCTTCTTTCTTCGTTCTCACTATTCCAATTCTCACGCTTTGCCAGTTTCCCCCAGTGTTCCGCGACCACCCCAGGAGCTTTTTGTCGCAGCCCAAATCGGACAACGAACACGTCGTGCCTGCATGCATGACTGTCGCATCCAGGGCAGTTGAGCGCACACCCAACCTACTACTCGAGTACGGAAGAGTACGGGCTCAGTACAGGAAGGCATGGTCATACGTGCTTGGGATCGCCAAATCGCCAAAAACTGAACTAAAGTCGCACAGGTTCCCAAAAGTCGCGTGAAAAGTCGCATGCAAAGTCGTGTGGAAAGTCGTATGCGAGTCGCACGAAAGTCGCGTGCGACTTTGGAAGACGTGCGCGACTTTCCACACGACTTTGGTGGTGTTGAAAGATAATAGAGCACAATGGCGCTTCGCCGGTCCTTTTCTTCTACCACTTCTGATCTATTAGACTTACTATGCTACTACTATTCAGTTGCTGTATGGGTTCTGATTGCCCATGCGGCTGATCTCTGGCCTGTTCTTGGTTTCAGAAAGATCTTTCCTGGCTTTTTTGGCCTCGGCCTTTTTGATTGCTGCTTGTTGTGGATTGGTTCCATATGGTTTGGCTTTCTCAACCAATTGATCGATCCTTTTTGCAAGCCTCAGGCGTCCAAAGTCAGTGTATTCAGGAGTTTCATCGAACATCTCCTTTGGAGTCTTTGTCAAGTGCAAGCCAGCAGCCATTTGCTCATCAAGTTTCTTGGCAGCCACCGATCCTCTCCAAATTGGTTTGCCATTTGGGTAGTGTGTTGGTGTGCCATAATGAGCTCTTGCTTCCTCCAAGCACTGCTTGTCATACACAGCAGCCCATTTCATAAGCTTGACTGTGCGTTGGAGTGTCTTGATGCGGGTTCTAAAGCGCTCAAGATCAAAGGGAAAATTGGCAAACTCAGGTTGGTGGGCATACATTTCATCAAAGAGCCTTTCGATGTTGTTGATTTTTGTCACTGGTACCAAGCCATCAAACATGTCCTGAGCCATCAGCTTTTTGGCATCACTGGTTTCCCATCTAGCTCCATTGAGACTTGCAGGTGGCCTCTTGGCATCTTTTCCCTTGGCGGGTGCTTTTGTTTTGTCCATTGTCGTGATTCAAACAAGTGCGTCGAGTCGAGTCAACAACCAACCAAAGACAACGGAGCGAATCGGAAGACGATAGCTGACATATCAACAAGCCGCCAAAGACGAGGATGGCTGGCATAGCTGTTGACGGCAACAACAAACAGATTGCTAAGAGCCGACAGCATGCTAGCAGTTTGTTAGTATTTTGAAACGAGATTTTGGGGATAAACAGCCGTGACGGTTCAAATTCGAAGGACGTCGTGGCTGACAGATCTCACTCTCACTCACTTTCCGCTTGTTCTTGCTCAAGCTTGTTGCTCACAATGCCGACTCTTCGAACCTTGCGATCAGACCCCCTCAGTGGAGTTGACTACCTCACAAGTGAATTCCAGACGTCTGATAATCCCTTCTACGCCGAGGTGAGTCTTTGATTGAATGATCCAATGGATCCAGATGATGTTGACTATGAATGTGATGTTGGGTTGCCAACAAAAGGTCTTGATATACACACCAAACACTTCTTATTGATGGCACTTGATCGACATGGTGGTCCAAGAGCTGTCAGCTATGAGAAACGACTCGTCAAGCAGCTGTGTGATGATAACTATGATGAGCTTGGTGCTCCTGGTTCCTTGCTTCGATCAAGAGTCAAGTGGATGGCTGATCGTTGGAAGCGTGACAAACGGTTTGAAATGAAAACTCGAGGCGATATCATGGCTGAATATGCTAAAGCTGTTGCTCTTCTTTGTTCTCAGGTCGACGAAGATTCCGCCGCAGTGCTACCAGACCCTGTTTCTTCCGTCAGCTCACACCCGAAGAAGAAGAAAGCTAACAGCAAGGCAGCCAAAGCAAAGTCGACTGCATCAAGAACCAAAACCGAAAAGCCAACAATGACATCCGTTCTTGGCAGTCCTGTGCGCATTCTCAAGGGCGCCGGAAACAATGGCACCAAAGGTAAGCGGTCCTCTTTGGTTGTACTTTTGAACATTGCTTGTTTGCTTTGATAGACCTCACTGGCTGGCTGTTCATTGTTTGTTCAGATCATGAAGAGTTTTATGATGTTGATCTTTCCAATGAGGAGATGCATGGAGAGTATCTTGTTACTCTCTGCACGGACGAGCTCATCACAAAGAAGGATGGTAGCACTTGCCATGCCAGCTCCATTGTGGTAGCCCGTCCCAATAGCAAACCAGCAGACACCAAGCTCTTGAAGGCAACTGTGAGCACTGATTCGATTGAGATTGTCGGCCCTGCAAAGAGTAGCACTTACTTGGGCAGCTCTAAGGAGTGGTTGGGGTTGCTTGAGAAGAACAAGAAGCGATTTTCGGCATCCAAGCTTGGCACCACGCTCACCGCATTGGTTACCAAAATGCAAAAGAAGAAGGCAAACACCAAGACGACCATTCTTAGTGTCAAAGACCTTGGCATCAAGCTCTCGAATCAATATTTCAATGACGGATGCCAAGACGGAGCGCTGAAGATGGTTCCTCTCCCGTACTCGTACGAAGCCAATGTTGGAAAGACAACCTTTAAGGTCACCGAAGCAATGGTCATTTGGCGTGCCTACATTGAAAGCTCGGAGGACGAAGTGAGCAACCAAGCTGGCACTGGTAGTGAAGACTACGATCTTTTGGTTCACCTCCTGGAAAATAGTGCGTAACTGCTTGCTTGGTTGTGCTGAAGTCGTTCTAAGAATCTAAAGAAATGTTTTGTGCTCTTTGATTGTCTTCCTCATAGTCAACACTGGTGATAGTACTAGTAGTGGTGATAGCATGGATACGGATAGTGTTGATGGTTCTAAGGACGATTCATCTGGTGGCGAGGATGCTACTAACGGTGGCTCCACGGATCTGGTTCTCCCTGCTTTGCCCAAATCCGATAATGACGACGAGGACGAAGGACCCTACTACGACTATGACCAGGAGTCAGTTAAGAGTGACGATGACAAAGACAATGACAAGAACAAGGACGTGAGCAGCGACGAATACCTCAACAATGCAATGGAAAAGGCAAAGACTGCTGCTCGTACAAAGAAAGCCAAAGAGGTCTTGGCTCGTCTCCATGACCAGAAGCGACAGCGCGGAGAAGATGTGACTTGGGTCGAAGACAAGATGGCCGATGTCAATTCGTTTGTCCGTGACTTTCAACATGAATTGGATCGACTCCTCCTCAAAGAAGGCGAGGAGAACACGATGGAAGTCGAGAACGGCACAAAGAAGAGAGGAAAGGAGGATGTTGAAGGCCCTAACTTTGACGACGACGACGACCTCTAGATCTGTCTGAAAAGCACGGATAAAGTAAAATCATAGTAGTATTAAGTAAATCAAAGACATCAACAACAACTATAGATTTAGATCTACAAACTATTAAGGTTCTCCCCCACCGCAGAAGAGTCCTCGATGGCATATTGGACCAAGCCCATGACAGCAGAGAAACACTTGGAATGTTTCTCCTTCCCATGAACAAACCTTTTGGTAAGGCATTCATAATCCTTGGCACGCTTATTGATGTGCTCTTGTCGAGCCTTTGCCTTTGCTTTGATCTGTCTCACTTCAGCACAATCAAGACAGTTTCCCACGGAAAATATTCGCTTCTCCTTCTCCGTTTTGCCGGTGTAGGCACTGTCTGCGATGACGCGGCATCCCTCGGGAACCATATCAATAAACTCTTTGCGAATGCATTTCATGTCATGTACACTGCCAAGGTCTCCAGCGGAAGCATACCATATATCATTAGTCCACATGGAAACAACAACTTGATAGTTGAGACCGGCAAAATTGTGCTTGTATGCATAGTTCTTCGGATTTCGCCTCATGTCTGGATCTCGTGGCTCATTAGTCCGCATCTGTGTTCCATCAACTGTAGCTCCCAACTTGACTGGCCAAACTTGTGGGCATTTGATCTTCTTCTGCTTGACTTCAACCAGAATGTCTACCCACTGCCATGTTGTGCTTCTCAGTTTCTTGGGACACAGAAAACCAAAGCGTGGAGCTCTTCTGTCCTCCGGCTCATAGCACTTGAGAAAGTGGTTGGCCACCATAAAACCAACAAAGGACTCTCTTTTCTTTGCTTCCTCCACATCCAATAGCCCAAATAGTTGTGCATCTCGAAAGACACGGGCAAGGTGCAGTGGATGGCGACCAAAATGTGATTTAAATTGTCGGATATTCATTTCCATGCCACGGTTCTTCTGTGTGGCCTCATCAACAAACGCCCACTTGAGGCCCTCACGAAGGATGTAGGATGGTGGTATAGTGAATAGAGCCACTGCGTTGGCCATTGTCAAGGTTGCTTGTTGCCTCTTCTACCCCGACAACAACAAAAGTCGCGTCGGAAAAATGAAAGCCCAAAGTCGTATGAAAGTCGCGTGCGAATCGCATGCGACTTTTCGGGAACGACTTTTAGCGATCCGACACGACTTTCCCACGCGACTTTTTCAATACCGGCTAAAAAGCGGGATCGGGACTGGCAGTCGTGTGACCAGGCCTTCCAGGTACCGGTCTGGTAGCTTCTCGCAGACCAACCTTGTGGAAAAGTATACAAACATCGCTGCTCTTGGTCGCTTCATTTTATAGTTTCCCTCAACCTGAAATCAGAGCTACCCATCAAACATCAATCAATCGTTTTTTTTACGCCAAATCTCGACCATGACAGTCTCTTTTCGCGGATTTTCTATAGTTGGGGTGAGTCGATGTGGACTTCGAGCCAAAATACTAGAATGGCCTGGCATGCTCCGAAGTCGAAAACGGTAACAAACTGACCTGCTATCTAACCAAACACATATAGAAGCCACATGCAACGACTAGCTAGCTAGTGTGGTCCCAGAAGTCCTCGAACTGAAATGGCCAACCGTGACTAACTCCAATAAATGTAGACTTCACTCGCATTTAAATGTAGACTTCACTTCACCTTCAATGCATTCACACTTACTCATATACCAGTGCGTCAGGACTTCCACCATCGATACCGCACTGCTTTACCAGGACTTCCATCACAGTACCAGTACTAGTAGCCATGACACCGGCAGCAGCGAGGACTTCCATCATCCATACGGCACTGCCTTGTGCAACCATACCAGGACTTCCATAACATTACTAGAAGTCCAGAACTGTATCCGTTTAGAGTACAGTCGTAGTTTCGGCCGTCCAACTTCGGGGCAAGCATGCATAGTATGTTTCCGCCGTCCTGTAAATGTGTCAGTAGACTTGGAAAACGGGGTACTTCCTCAAATTGCATTTAATAGTACTTCCGCGATAGTACCTCAATGCCCGGACCTCAAAACTGTGTCTTAAGGATACGACTTCACTGTGCGTTGTGTGTATTAATAGATACCGGTATCATGAAGCGAAGTTCGCTCACACTTCATAGTTGCTTAAAGAAAGATGCTTCCCCTTTCTTGTTCGTGGATTTAAACAATCGAACTTCAATGTGTGATTCGATTCGAGAATGAAGTCCAACTTCTTTGTTACTTAACGAGTTAGACTTCCCCTTTCTTATTGGAGCGACTTCCGTGGTTTTTTTAGTTCCAGGATTTCTCGAACCATGGTTTAGGTAATTAGGCTAAGTATGTTATTCTATATACAGATCTGAGTACTTTGAAGTCAATTGACTGGCCGGATGGACTCACCCCAACTATAGAAAATCCCTTTTCGCGACCAAGGAGTGCCTGGTATTGAAGTCAATGGCTCTGTTGATAACTGAAGGTTAGAAACAATTATGGGAGCCATTGGCTGAGCAGGGAATGTCCCCCAATAGCTGTTATAGCTGTTGGAGGCTCTGCTGGATCTACATCTAATTGTGGGTCCTGCAAGCCAGGGGACCATCTAACAGTCTTGGTGTGGAGATCTGAGTCACAGTTGACCTGTGACTTCAATACACCCTCGCACGACAAGGCTGTGGAGTTTTTGGTGTTGGCTTGGTTAGGATAGGTTGTTGTTATGGTTGCTGTAGGCTCATAGAGATACGTAGGTCTCATTTTTTGATGGTGTTTGGGTGGGTGGTGTTTGGATGGATAGTCAGCTAGGTTGAGTGTTCCTGGTTGCCAATAGACATGGAACTGGTTTTGGTTGACTCTGTCTTGAATCCAGTAGAATCGCATGTCGATGGCTTTGGAGCGCTTTTGCTTGACTGTGTCATTGATGATGCCTTCTGCAACTTTGTTGTCGATGCGTATTGGTGTCGGTGGTTGTGGGTGTCCAAGGAAGTCGAGTGTGGTTCTGAGTGGACAACCTTCTTGGCCACATTCGAATGCTGCACCTGTTTCGGCTTCTGCTGCAGAGGCAACCACAACTCGCATGATTGGGCAAATGACTAGGATAGGTCCATTGTGTTGTGGTTGTTGTGGTGGCATGTTGTTGTTGCTGCAGTAGAAGTAGCCGGCGGCTCGTGACCGACTCTTAGGTTCACTGAGGTAGGAGGCGTCGCTATCGATACGAAGGACCATGTCGCTGCCGGTGTATCGTATGGTTGCATTTGGATGTGTTGCTGCGTAGTTTAGGAGTTTGGTGCATGCGTCTCTGGTGGCTTCGGTTGGGCTGGTTTGTTGCGTGGCTATGGTACCTAGTGCAGGGAGCATAGTGTTGTCGACTGCTCTGGCATAGAAAAGGAGGACGCCGAGTATCTGTTGGATGCGTTGTTTGTCTTTCTTTGGGAGCAGGGGAGATTGGTCGGGATTGTCGGTCATTTGTAGGCCATAGCGGAGTTGTTGTGTTGCGTGTGGAGAGTGTTCAGGATGCTTTGGTGTTGGGTGCTCGAAGCGTTTGAGAGCTTTGTCAATGTAGCCAGGCATGGAGATGTCACAAGTTCTGTTGGTGTAGTCCCATTTGAGATGGATGCCGCTGTATAAGGCGCCTGACCAGTCAGTGGTAATGGTGTATTGCTGTTTGAGTACCCATTCTAGGTGTTTGGCATGTTCGTCGCCTACGTATTTGACTCCGAAATCATCGACGATGAGAACGAAAGCAACTGGTCTGGTGTCATGTTTGAAGAGTGCTGGGATGCGTTTCGATTGGTGGTATCCATGGGTGGCTAAGTATGGTACGAGCCTGTCATTGGCAACGCGTCCTGCTTGGGGGAGGCCATACATGCCGCCGTCAATGGCGACGTAGACAAAGCCTCGGTCGTCAATGAGGTTGAGCTCGTGGAGTTTGTATTGTTGGATTATTTCATCGGGTATGACTGAAGTGTGGATCTGCATGTATTCAGTTCGCGGTAGTTTGTTGGCTAAGTAGTAGTCTTTGATGTCCATTGTCATGAATTTTGCCTTGGGTGTGCTAAGGACGCTGTTAAGAAGAAGTTTGGTAGTGGTGAGCTGGGCTGTTTTGGTGGTGGTGTCGAAAGGGTAGTCAATTCGGTCGCCACCGACAGTGTGTCGAACTCGGTATGGATCGGCCTTCTGTGGTCTATATGCCACAACGATGCGCATGTAGGTTGGTTTGCGTCCGTCGGGGATGTCTCGTCGTGGTATGAATTTCATGGTGTTGGTGCCTTTCACGTCTTTCCAGCCATCAAGCAGGCGCCCAAACTCTTTGCAGTTGCCTTGGCGCCAGAGGTGGCCATCGCTGCTTTTGGCGAGTTCTCTGTATTCGGCAAGTTGTCCTGTGTCTGGGTTGAATGCTTTGTTGGCTTGATGTAGGTTGGCGTGGAGGTTTTCTAGGATCCACGTTGTGGCAGAAGAATCGAGCTGATGCTGTGTGGGTTCGTGGTTTGTGTGTCTGGCGGTGTGGACCGCTATGTGCTTTGGTGATGCCACCCTCGGTTCTTCGGTCGTAGTTGGTGCGAGGTAGGAAAGTAAGGATGGCAGATTGTTCTTGTGGAGGAGTGGTGGTGGTTGCGTGGGGTGTGTTGGGGCCGCAGTGAGAATTGTGTTGAGGTCGTTGAGGGCTGCAATGAGTTGTTCTTCGTGTGATGGTTGTGGTATTGAAAGGTGGGGCGGTGGGAACCATTCAAGGGTATCGGTGTGGCGTATCTGTTGGGTTTCCCAGATGTAGACGCGGTAGCATCGGTAGTGATTGAGTGCAGGGCCAACATACCAAGCATCTTTGCCCTTGGGAGCCCATGACTGGCGTTTGTCGGGTTTCTCGTGGCTGAGGACACGTATGCCTGGAGGGGCTATGGGTGTTGCATTGAAATCGTAGCGGCCATAGATGGTTTCGTAGGCAGAGAGCTTTGGATTGCGGCGGCAAGGTCGGAGGATATTGAGTGTGAGTTCTGCTTGTGGGAGGAGTTCGTCCCAAAGGTTGAGTGGAAAGTCGGGATCAGTGGTTGCTAGCATAGCGATGAAGTGGTTCTTGAAGGTTCGAATTGCGCGCTCTGCTGCATTGCGTCGATGCATTCCTGGTGGTACCAGTTGGAAGGAGGTAGCGGTACTGTGTAGGAATTGTTTCATGGCTGTGGAGCATTCGTTGTCAAGGGTGTGTAGTTGGGGCTTGTGTCCACAACGGACGAGTGTATCATGGACGTCTTTGTATGCTGTTAATATTGCTTGGGCTTTGCGTGTTTGGAGCGGGCGTACATGGACACTGTTGCTGTCGTAGTCATAGAGAAGGAACATGTAATGGTTGCCGCGGTGAGACGGGACGGGAAAGCGGCCGGTTTGATCGCTGTATGTTTTGCCTTCACGGATGTCCCAGAGTGCGGCGTAGCATTGGTGTGTTGGTTGTTGGATGGTCTCGAAGGGAGAATCGTTGGTCTCGACGCTGTCGTCGTGGAGTGTGAGGAAAGGATCGGTTGGCAGTTGTTTGGTGGTTCGTTGATTTTGTCGACTTTGGTCGAGATGTCCTTTGGCAGTGGCGACAGTGTGTGGTGGCCAGCGTTGTAGCGTTTGGGCTGTGAGACCGGGGAAGCCGTGGATGTGTTTTCGTTGGAGGGCTTGTAGGAGAGTAGTGAGTGCAGGGGATCCGAGGGCTGCATGGGCGAAGCGGACGAGCTGGGCAGCGGTAGGTTGGTTAATTTTGTTAGCTGAGTGTGTTGTTGGGTTTACATGCCAGAGTCCATTTGTGTGGTTGTTGCGATAGCCTGTGAGGATGGGTTGGCCGTTTGAGTTGGTGACTGTCATGTCGTCTTTGCGAAATTGGGCGGTACAGTCTTGGTCACAGAGTTGCCCGATGGAGAGGAGGTTGTTGTCGAAGGAGTGGAAAAGTTTAATTTGATTGTTTTCGGGCTGAAGTGTGGGAATGTGGAGGTAGGAGACGTGGGAATTGGTCTCTACTGTGGAATTTGGCATGTTAACTGCTACTGGGTTTGGATCTAGTTGTATGTCGGGGTGGTTGTTGTCATGGAGGTTTCCATAGTGTTGATCAGTGCCGGTATCGGCTATGGTGTTGGTGAGGGGACCGGTAACAATAGTGTCATTGGCTGCATTATTTGTTCTGTTATTATTGTTACTATTACGGGCTACCGGCTCCTCTCCATTTCAGTTGTCAGGCGTGCGACCCGTAGAGAGGGAGCTAACGTCCGATTCTGTGGTGGTAGTGGTGCGATCGGTGCTGTCACTGCGTGCGGAGTGGTTGGCATTGCCATTATTCGGTGTGCGTGTGTTGCGATTGTTGGGGACGAACTTGACAATGGGGGATTCGCCTGGTTTGCGTTTGATTTGGCAGCGGCCGCCGCACATGTTCATGAGGGTTGCTTTTTGGTTGTGCTCGGCGTGTCGGTTTCGGCAGGTTTTGCTGTTGTGTGTGAGGTCCCATTGGAGGCCGTGAGAAAAGCAATAAGACATGCTTTCACCGTTGAGTGTCACGATGTAGGGATTGTCGGTGTTGGCTGCGTTGGCTTGGTGTTGATCGTGATAGCCGGCTTGTTTCGTGGTGACAGTGCGGATGCGTTCGTTGTTTGCTTCTTTGAAGTGTGTTTGGAAGTTGGCCCATGTTTGTTGTGGTGTTGGTTTGGCACGCCAATCTTTGAGGGCCAGAGGGAAGACGCCACTGTTTTCGAGGTTTTTGAGGCCAGCACGGAGGGCAGAACGGTCTGTGATTTCGTCATGTCCACGTGCAAAGGCTTGGGCGTCGTTGATTTGGTTGAAGAGCTGTTCAATTGGGTCATTAGGAGACCATTTGGTGTTCATGCGTTCGATGTTTTTGTCGAGGTCGTCATTGGTGAGTTGTCCGTAGGTTTCTTGGAGGTGTTCAACGAAGTCGATGTAACGAACGTGGGAGTAGCCTTCTTCGGGGTCCTCCAAGGCCTTGTAGTATACTTCCTCGGTGGCTTGCATGGCTAGTTTGAGGAGTGCCTTTTCAGTTGATTGGAAGACTTGGAATTCTTGGAGGTCGTATTGGTGGTTGGCTACTTCGTTTTGGATTTGTGCTGCAGTGGCACCGGGTGGAATGTTGGGGCGGGCTCCTGGATGAGCTGGGTCGATCCAGGGGTTGCCAGCAAGATGGGCTCTTGCATTGTAGTCGACCAGTTGGTAGCAGAGACGGAGGTGTCCTTCGTCGCCTGCTCCGCGGGCGCTATGGATGTTTCGGGCATTATCTTTGTTTTCTTTGATGAGAGTTTTGATGGAAGCTCGGGATGGGGCTCCAGTGATTTGGGTAAGTGTACTGTGTATGAAGTCGTTGACGGGATCGTAGGATCGGATGCTCATGGTGAGGTTTTTTGTTGATGTAGATCGAAGCGGTTGCTGGGTGGCGTTGTTGAGGATTGCTTTCTAACTATTGAAGTCAATGGCTCTGTTGATAACTGAAGGTTAGAAACAATTATGGGAGCCATTGGCTGAGCAGGGAATGTCCCCCAATAGCTGTTATAGCTGTTGGAGGCTCTGCTGGATCTACATCTAATTGTGGGTCCTGCAAGCCAGGGGACCATCTAACAGTCTTGGTGTGGAGATCTGAGTCACAGTTGACCTGTGACTTCAATACCTGGTAGAGCGCCCAGCACGTTGGTGGTTACCTTTGACATGGATGGAGACGATGATGAACTCTGCCAAGATACTGGTACTCGCGATATCGAGACGGGGTCTCATCACACCGATACGGGCCACAGCACGGGAGAAAACGACATGGCGGAAGACGACAGTCTAAGATTTGTCGATGAGGACAACTTTCAGGACGAAGTTGAGGCATCACCACTCAAGGACGGCAACGCTGAAAAGGACTACTTTCGGGGTCATCCTGTCCAAAAGGAGACGCGTGCCTTGCGCTTGGGTCTGATTCTCCTCTTTCTGAGTCTTGCCATTGGAACGGTCCTTGTCGTCTACTGTCTAGCAGACGCTCTGAGTGAACACGAAGATGTACCTCTTCATCCGGCCTTGATCGCCGTGCTCTTCTTGGCGTGGTTTGGGATTGTGGGAAGCACCAGTGTGTTCTATCACATGAAGCTAGTTCGTCGTCTTTGTGAGAGCCACAAGGCCGCCACGGACTCCCAAGCCATCGTGTCCTCCTTCTTCCCTGCGCAGTTCCGTGAGCGTTTGCTTCAAGAACGTAATCAGAAAGTTGGCGACGCCACGACCAAGGACGCAACGAAGGACGCAACAGACAACAATACCAGCTCGTCAAATAATGTCGGTGGTGGGTTCTCCATACTTCCCAAGGCTCAGCTCAAGAGGTTTCTCGACAACGGCAGTGGGGAGATGCAGTCTCGTGGGAATCCGATGTTACAGTCGTCCGCTCCACTTGCAGACTTGTACCCCAACTGCACAGTCCTCTTTGCAGATATTGCTGGATTCACGTCATGGTCTTCAGAACGTGAGCCAAGTCAGGTGTTCCTCCTTTTGGAGGGCTTGTATTCCAAGTTTGATATGATTGCCAAGCGAATGCGTGTCTTCAAAGGTGCGGCTTGGATTGGGAAAAGTTTCTGCAGGCACTACCACTCTTTCGCCTATCTAACATCATCCCTCTCTCCTGCTTCGTGCTCTACAGTGGAGACAATTGGGTAAGTCAAGGGATTCCCAAAGAGAGCGTTCCACCCATCACTCTGTTGTGCAATCCTCACACTGTTTCCTGCCATCTCCATGAAGGGACTGCTATCTTGCGGTCACTGGGCTTCCTGATCCGCAAGACGATCATGCCGTCAGGATGGTGAAGTACGCACGCTTTATCGTTCAAGAAGTGGTTAACATCGTGAAGCAGCTGGAACGTGTCCTGGGTAAGCTGATTCGTGGTGGTCTGCTAGCTAGCTGAGTTTGCTTCACATCCATCTACTCACACAAAGACTTGCCCGTTTCCTGCAGGCCCCGATACCGCCGACTTGAGGCTCCGATGTGGCCTTCACTCGGTACGCGATAATATTATGGCACTGGCTTTGGTGGAAGGCATCGTCCATGAATGAGTCCTAACCCAAGCATGTTGTCCCATCGCGAAATTAACAGGGTCCGGTGACGGCAGGAATCCTCAGAGGAGAAAGGAGCCGCTTCCAGGTAGGTTGAGGAAGCTGCTTCCCCATCTTTCATGTTGTCTCAGTTCAGTTCAGTTCTAACTTGGCCTTCTCCTGCACTCGAACAGCTCTTTGGCGACACGTAAGAACGCTCTGGCTGCAGCAGTAACATCCGCCACTCCTGCTCGCGCTAGCTGGTGTACTCACGCTCGCTCCCGTCTCCTCGCTTCTCTCCGTTCAGGGTCAACACCGCTAGCAGAATGGAAACCACAGGGGAACGTCACAGGATCCAAATGAGCCAGTCGACTGCTGATCTGCTGATCCAGGATGGAAAGGAACACTGGGTAAAGCTCCGACATGATCTTGTTTCAGCAAAGGTGCGTAATGCCCTCGCTGTGACAGGAACGATCTCGGGAGAACCAAAGAGCTCAACTCGTTCGTTCTGTGTGCCGCACCGGTTTCTGTAGGGAAAGGGACAGGTACGTACTTCGTGTCTCATATGGTGCAACAAGGCACTGTTTGCCAACGTCGAACCAAGGAACTCATCAACACACTCTTTTATTCCGTCGGTGCAGCTTCAAACATACTGGTTCGTCAACGCACGAAATAACCACTCTAGTGATCGATCCACAGCTTCTGGCTCTCGATCATCGGACGACCACAAGGATGCCCAGTCCATTGGATGGGGTGACAATGAGGATGACTTTGTGCTTTCATTGCCACCCATGTCACGAAGTGCCAAGAACAAGCGTTTGATCGATTGGACGGTGGGAATACTTTCCCAGCAGTTGAAACGAGTTGTAGCTCAACGTGACCCGTCAGTAGCGGTTCAGGCGATGGCAGATCCCAACGCGTACTTGCAAAAGAAAGGAGAGACTCCGTACGAAGAAACCGTCGAAGTTTTGGAACTCCCCAAGTTCGGTAACGCCTCTGTCTTTGCCGACTCCCACTCCATTGAACTTGGACACGACATCGAAGCCCAGCTGCGTTCTGTGGTGACGCAAATCGCAAACAGGTACAAGGACAACGCCTTCCATAATGTAAGCTTGACCCAGCGTTTCCTTGCTTGGCGTGTCGAAGCAAAATGGTGAACTCACCTTTCCTTTCACCCCTGCACAGTTCGAACACGCAACTCATGTTGTGCAGTCCATGCAAAAACTACTCAACAGAGTTGTCACTCCGGAAGAAATTAACTACGACCAGGACTGCCTGGATGACATCGAAAATGACCTCCACAACTACACATACGGGCTAACCAGCGATGCACTCAGTCAGTTTGCCATTATTTGGAGTGGTTTGGTGCATGACGTTGACCATGCTGGAGTGTCCAATGGTCAGCTGGCCGAAGAAAATCCTGAGCTCGGCGAGAAGTATAAAAATCGCAGCATTGCCGAAGCTCATTCAGTGGATATTTCCTGGGATATCTTAATGCAGCCCGAGAACAAAGAACTGCAGCAATGCATCTTTGCAACTGAAACTGAGCTCAATCGTTTCCGCTCTACGATTGTCAATAGCGTGATGGCCACTGATATCTTTGAGAAGGATGCGAAAGCAAAACGCAATCAGCGATGGGAGAAAGCATTCTCTACTGATGATACGATTCCTGCCGCCGAATCTTTCCAAGACACCAATCTTCGCGCTACCATTGTCGTAAGTCCTTGTGGAAAGGTTCTTGAACCAATGCATTGGAAAAAAGTCTTTTGGCACCTAACACAATCTTCCTGGTTCTTGCAGATTGAACACATTATTCAGGCTTCGGATGTGTCACACTGCATGCAACACTGGAAAGTGTACCAAAAGGTAAGAACACCTGGACCATCACTCGACTTCCATTCGTGGGTGTCGATGCCGAGACTGACTTCACTGTTGCTTCGTCGTTAGTGGAACGAGCGCCTCTTCCGAGAAATGGCCATGGCTTTTGACGAGGGTCGACTATCCAGTGACCCAAGGGACGGCTGGTACAAGGGTGAATTGTGGTTCTATGACAACTATATCATCCCATTGGCAAAGAAGCTAGCTGAGTGCAAAGTCTTTGGGGTTTCAAGCGACGAGTACCTCAACTACGCCATGGAAAACAGAAAAGAATGGGCCCGAAAGGGGGAACAAGTTGTCAAAGACATGGCGGACCGCTACCAAAAGCGGAAGGAATTAGAAATAGGAGGACTCACCACGGATGAAATCAATGGCTTTACACCACAAGACCTCGAGTACATCATGAAGAAGCTCATCCAGAAAGGTCGCAACAATGGTACGAAGCGAGTCGACGCAGAAAAGGGACAGAATGATGCAGCTCAGGCGTGGATGGATGCGCTAGAGATCTATGAAAGAGCTCCTGCAACCTCCGAGATGAGGGATCGCTCTCTTGTCTTCCCAGTGTATTCTGGAGTTCATGCTTGGCTGAAGTTTGGCAAAATCAAGAATGATGAGGATGGCTTCTTCGAGCAGAATCTAGCTCGCAAGTTTGTGAGGGAGAGCAAGCGATTCCGCGGAACCCCTGTCCACTACATCCGTGCCATGGCTTTGCTTTGCGAGGTGACCGCTGTTTCGGGCAACTATCCTGCCGCACTGAAGCTTCTGGAAACACTCAAGTCAAGCTATGACACCCAGGAGCATTCCCTTGCTGTGGAGAAGGTCTATGGTGTTGACCGTGCAGCCGTTGTCATTGCCCAATCGGCGATGTGGTATGATCAAATGGGAGACACTGAGATGGCTCTTTCCGTGTGCAAGCACGTCACAACGGAGCTGCTGCCCGATCTTGACCCAACCAATACGCTTGGTATGTTTGAGCTCTTGTCTCCAGTTCTCAAGATTCTCAAGCAGAACGGGCTTCACATGGAATGTTACAATCTCTTCAACGAGCACGTCCATGAGGCTTTCCTGAAGAATCACGGTCCTGATGCCTTCACTCCCACCAAGTCACTTCACAAGCCCATTGTCTGGTTGTTTGCCATGTCCCACGATCCAGACAACTTTGAAGACTTTGATGAGGTTGTTGAGTGGTTGTCGGAAGGGGACAATGGGGTTCCAAACGATAATCTCGACACCATTGTGATACGCTCAACCTGGGGACCCACGGACATGGCTGCGGAGCTGTGTCTGCTGGTAGCAAAGAGGCTTCTGAAGGAGAACAGGGACGAAGAAATCTGCAAAAAGATTGCAGATAAAGGGTTACGACTTGCTCGCACAGCAGATGGGAAAATAAAGAACAAGAATGGCAGAGTGGTGCTGTACTTCGCCAACAAGGTTCATGCACCCGTGCTCGAAGAACTTGAACAGCTGGCCAAGACTCTTGGCATCTACACCGAACCCCCGGAGAGAAACGAGCCTCCTGCTGGAGTCACAGTCAATCTTCCACCCTCCTACCTCGTGACTCCAGTAGATGCCACCGAGTTCGCGTAAACGTACAATGCGTAACAACTAGCTATTCTACATTGTTTCATATTTTGCATGTGTCAGCTGCCTTGCGCTCAAGCTCTACTGTTCTTTCGTAGCCTACCGGTACCTAGTCGTTCTATTATAGTTCTCCAAGAATGTAGCTAGCTAGGTTGGGTTGATTCTCCTTCGATAGGCTCCAATCCAATTGACGTCGGTATCGTTTCCGTCCAATTTCCAATCCCATTGACCACAAAGGGGAGGCTTCGTCAGCACCATTCCACTGACATGTACCTGTTCCATCCCAAAGCCATCCATTGTTTGTGCCACTTCTTGAGGCGCCAAGTACTGGTTCCAATCATGAGTTCCACGAGGGACATATCCCATAATGTACTCGGCTCCCACAATGGTGAGCAAGTGACTTTTCCAGGTCCGGTTCATGGTGGATACAAAGAGCAGCCCCGTGTCGGGTTTCACCAAGGACGAAGCGGCTTGAACAAGAGACGCCACATCCGATGCATGTTCTAGGACTTCCAACAAACACACCACGTCAAATAATAATGGATGATTGTCGTCTTCTGTGGCGGCCAATTCTTCGACCGACAAGCCTCCTCGGTAGTCAATGTTGCGCAACCGGGGATCTCCTGTTTGCATGGCATGTTCCTGTGCCTTTTGCACCAGGGCTTCGGATGGATCAATGGCCGTGACGTTGGCTCCCAATCGCGCCAAGGATTCCGACAAGAGCCCCCCACCACATCCCACATCGAGAGCCTTGAAATTGTGCAGTGGTGGGGCGTTGGGGTTGTTGTGGTTGGTTGTTGCACTGTGCTGTTTCTGGACAATATCTAGAATATACCGGATTCGAATTGGGTTCATGGCAATCAAGGGATGAAAGGATGGATCCCACCAATCTTTGTCCATCCCTGAGAACTTGGAAACTTCATCCTGTGAAATGGAAGTAGAAGTACTGGAAGCCCCTCGATACCTCTGACCAATATAGGAGTTGCGATTTCGAACTCGATGAAGGGATGCTGCTATTGAATTAAAGACTCGACGATGGCTTTGTCGAACTGCTGATAACATGGTGAAGCCACGGTAACTGCCAGTGGCAAGATGCAGCAAATATACTAGTAACAAGTTGGATGAAAGATGCTCCTCAGAATGCTGTCTTCCCTTGAGTTTTGGACGTTGTCTTTTTTGGGCTCTCGATCCTGTCTGGATGGAAACTGACGTCACAACAGTGACTCAGAACCACCGCACCCTCGTGACCCCCTCAATTTTGAAAAATTTAGCTAGAGAGGCTTTTGAGCGGGTTTCCTCATCATTGCTTTGAGCTGTTTGTTTCTGTTGTATTTTGTTTCTACCCATCAAAGACAACGGGTACCAGGTAGCATCCAAAGAAGATGCGCCGGCTATCAGATTCCATGCTAGATTCGGAGACTGCCAAACCCTTGGTAGAGTGGGTGCGAGATCAACGCGAATCGATTCGTCCCATGAGCAGCCAGTCCATGCATGACAGTCGGAGAAGAGAAGAAAATGACGGTGAAGACATTCGAATGACACAGTCGGATCGGGAAGATCATTATCGTGGATACATTCCCATGGTGGAGACTCCCAAGGAAGTATTTTTTGCTCCACGGTTTGATTTTGATACTGATGCGGAGGAGAAGAAGAAAAAGACGATTGAACGCATTGTGGTGGATGACGCCTCGCTCGAACTGGACGCAGCCAACATGACAACTTTGACATCCAAGGATCTGCTGTTGGGGAACCTCCATCATGACGATGAAGAGGATGGCATTACGCTGGATGGAGACGACTTTTTCACACCCGTCAATGGAGAGAATCAAGAGAACAAGAGCCCTTTGAAGAAGGATTTCAACACAAAAGTGAAGAATAGTAACACCAATGACAATGAGACTGTCCACCAGCAAAGTTTCAGTAGTGACCATCAAGAACTCGAGCATCTGGCGCGAAAGGCAGCTGATGATGTTTCTAGCGAAATTGAAAAGGTGGTTGATAGAGCCAATCTCGAGACCAACGGACAAAGAGTTGCCGCAGATGACATGGCAACTATGGCCGCCATTGAGGTGTTTTCAAACAGCATCTTGGCTTCAAGAGCAGTCAACACCACACCAAACAACGACAAGGAGAAGTCAGACACAACGACAACGGAATCTGCCAAACGAAAGCGACGTCTCAGCCCGCCCAGTGGAGATGATGACAAGAAGCAACCTGGTCGAAACGTTCAACCTGCCTCTACGGGAGAAAGTCAGCTCAAACGCTTTGCACCCAGCCCCAAGTCGGAGGCTCCTGCTAGCACTGAAACGGAGGTTGAAACTACAAGGACACAAGTGACTGTAGCTTTTTTGGAAAGTGCAGGATCAGGCACAACGAGTCTCAAGCCAAAATCAGCAGGGGTTGCGCGGGAGAGCTGCAAACAAAAGCCAGTAATGGTTCAACCCATTTTGCCTCCTCGGAATGCAAGTGTTAAACCAGAGAAAGAGAAGGCACTGCAGGCTTCTTTTTTCATGGAACCCAAAGGCCAACTTGCGACAACCAAATCAGAGGCCAAGGTTCTAGAACCAGTAGCGCATGCAGATACTCCGAAAAAGATTACCGTAGACCCTGACAGTTTGAAGAAAGAGCCACCTGCTTCTCCTCTGGTTTGTGCTGCATCAGTACGCGAAAGACAAAAGCAAGAGCCACCCACAACACCATGCATGCAACCCGAAGCGGTGCGTGAAAGTTCGAGGACACTCAATCGAGCCCTGGAGCCCGAACCCGCCGGGGAAGGAATTGTGCCTGCACGGTCCGACGAAGACTTCCGTCAGCCTGAACTGATGCCCACGACAACGGAAGACACAGACGAAAGCAACAGGAACAGCCCTCGCGATGAAGGAAGCGGCACCACTGAAGCTATTTCCTACTTGCTGCGCTATGAGGCAATGTTCACGCAACAAGAAGACGAAGAATCCTCCACCATTCAATACATACTTCCTCTACTACGACGCCTGGAGACCCTCAGCAAAAGCTCTTCAAACAAGAAACAATCAAAAGAACACGTTGACGGAAGCAGCGATCTCTGGAAGCGGTCCATCACATACGTGGAGTTGAAACGGGCCCTTACAGCTTTGGAAAATGGAGAGGGAAACACAGACTTTCTGACTCAGGATAGTCAACTGATGATGGTTTTGCACGTCTTGACCAAGCGTACGGAACTCAATGACGAGTTTGATGGCGATGAAGCTGTCTCGATCACGTGGGCTGAAATAATCCACTGTTACAGGATTTGTATTCTTGGAATGTTGACATTGAAGCATTTACCAAAGCAAACCCAAGTCAGATCACGGGCCAAGGAACGCATTCTGTCGCAACTTTCCTTGTTCGAGATGCCGGCGCAAAAGTTGATGAGTGAAAGCGGGGCCATTGACAGCAGTGCCCTGGATGCAGCTTCTCGGGCCCTTCGAACGTGCGGCGAGAGCCATGCTCCAAAGAGGACTGGTTGGATTCAGAATAACAGGGTCATTGCTGCTTCAGCATGCATTTGTGCGCTTGGTCTTGCCTTCACAGCAGGAATGATGTTTCATCCATCCAGATTGGCCAATGGTGTTGCGGCTAATCAGGCCAGTTGCCAACTTGAGGATGGCTGGTTGACTGTCCACGCCGCTGACACAATGCCAGTGGTTCCACCATCGTCGATTGCTGTGGAAGTGTTAAACACTAGCAAGACGACATCTTCCTCAAGCAAGCCTGTTTTCCCACCTGCTCGAGAACGCCTGCTGTCAAACATCCAACAAAAAGAGGTTCCAGTCCAGCAATTATCGGAGGTGGATGTTGACAAGGAAGCTTTAGTGCCGCAAACAACCAATTCATCATACAACGCGACAACAGTTGAAGAAGAAAAGCAGCCATCAACTCAGAATCCTGCTGCAAGCATCTGGAAGTCGATACCCCAGGGACAACAGCTCGCCGTATCCGCTGTGGTCGGCGCATCGGTTGGAGTGTATGTGCCTCCCAAACTTATGATGGTGGCTCGAGTTGTCGGCCAAAGCTTGTCACTGGGTAACATTGGGATTGTTCCTGCGAGTCTCGTTGTCGTTGGGGTGCTTGCTATTGCGGCAAATGTAGCAAAAGGAATCAGGTTCCTTGTGCAACGATTTGTCTTGCGTAAACAGAGAGGCATGGCGTAGATCTCAATTTCACCTACTTCATCTCATGTCTTCTTTAGTATCAAGCAACACAAAAAGGACTGTACGCAAAGAGGGTAGCTAGCTAGCATACAAATAAAATAGTAGAAGAGCAAACTCTTATTGCGCATCATCGGTTTCTGCCATGCATGTAATTGAATTGAGAGCGTCTATCTTCCTGCGTGGGGAAGGAAAGTACCTGTAGTAGTGCTGAGCATTCCAGTACAGCAATGCTTGCTTGAGTCCGAAACAACTCTCTCTGGCCCTGCATGTCGAATTTCCCCCCTTTGGAGAAGTCTTTCACCACTTTCTTCAGGGTTTCAACTGACTTTGTCACACTCTGTAGGTGTTCCTTAGGTAGCACCTTGCTACGGTAACCTGAAGAGAACCTCATGTCACTTGGTTGTGTTCTTGTCACAGCAGTGCATCTTCTTGCTCGCAAATCTCTGGAGGCTGAAAATCCAGAAGGAAATAGTCCAATTGGAGGAATTCACACAGTTTGAGGATGGTGTCCTTTGACAAGAGATCCTTTCGGCTGGGAAAGTTTTTGACTTTGACATCACTGAGGGAGGCATCCCGGCCTGTATTTCCATCTCGCCATCCTTGAAACTTCCCGATGTGTACCACCATTTCTTTCAATTCTGATAGATCCCCCACTGCATGAATGTGTGTATCAATGGAGTGAGTTCTGTTGTGGATCATGAAGTTTACTTGTGGATGTGAATGCATCCAGCAACGGGAGGAACCCAGGTGAGCTTTTACACTTTGCAACCAATCTTGAATGCGGGCGTCATAGTCCCTGTGAATTCCTGCCAGACTGCCGTACAGAGGATCGTGTTCATCATCTCGGGAGAAATATCGCAGTCCACACTCTGCCCAACCACTTAAAAAGTGGTCAATGGGGTCTCGAACCACGGCGATCCATTTTCGGTTCGCCATGACAAGGCTGTCTAGTATTTCATGCACATTGCTGTCGTCCTGACCATCCAGCAGCATATTCTCGACTGTAGTCCCTCCACACTTGTAAATATGCAAAAAGGCAAATTCATCGGAGATGGGCATTCCTCCAAACTCGTCAAAATTGGTGTGAAAAAGGAGACTCTTTGGAAGGTCTTTGATCAAGTCTTTTCGGGTTTGAAACTTTTGCTGATGGGCCGATGAGCGCTTCATTCCGCTGGAGACCATTTCATCATAGTACAGGTCGTTGTCGGATTGTGGTTCAGGCAGCGTGCGTATCAACAAGGGGTACAACCAAGTGGAAAGAACAAGGGCGAAGAGGATAAAAACCCCTCCAGTGGCGAGGCAGCGTCTCAGAGTAACATGGCCATAGTTTAGATCCACCGCTTGCATCCTTTCCTTCAACCATGGACACTGTACATACTACCGGCACGGTCCGGCACCACTCAAGAGGCAGCCGCATAGCCGCATGCACAGAATCTGATGATGCCGTGGAGTTGGGCACTCGGCAAAGAAACTGCGTAATAAGAGATTTAATGATAAAGTCTGTTGTCTCTCGAAGGTTTAGAGATATACAACGATTATTAATAAATCTAATTTTGCAAGCAAGAATGATTCATCATTCGCAAGAGCGAATAGATCAACGTTGCAAACAGAGATCGACGGTACATTCCGTAGGTCTGGTCCGGTAGAGGTACTGTAGAGCATGTACGAAGTGCCAATACCAGAGCTGGCAGGGGGGCGAGCTTTAGAGGAGAGAAGGCGTATCGATAAACTTGAATCCAGCTTGCCCTCTAGCTAGGTAACCGGTACGGATGGATGGCTTTGCCCTGCTACATGTAGTATTTCTTGAGGGACAGATATCTTTGCCAATTTGCCCCAGAGGTGCGTCCAAGTTCCCATAGAGGTGCGACCAATTTAGTTATTAATTGCCACAAAATTTCCTACCTACGGTAGAGGTGCGACCAATTGCTCTAGAGGAGTCCAATTTGCTCTGTACCCCCATCTTTTGCCTGCTCCCGCTGACAAAAACTTCACTGCTCCTCTCTCCCACTACACGCGTCTTCACGGCCATATTGCACATCTGGATGGACTCACCACTCACTGGCTCTCCAGAAATCCAAACAATTTCCTTTACAAAGAGATATGGCTAACGGGCGAAATTGGCATATCCATTCCGTAGTGTTGTAACAAGTAATGCGAATCAGCGCTTTCAGCCCGCCAGGATTCAATTCTTGTCAGACTATGATTAAAGTTGTTGGCATCTGGTTCGGTCACGCCCTTGCCATAAAGTCTACAACACGTAGACCATCGTCTACGGGTCGAAGGAGCTCCACCACTCGCGACATTTCCACGTACACGATGGCACTCTCGCAATCGTTGATCCCATACGAGATTACAACGTACTCGACCCCATCATCATGAGAGACAATCTCCATCCCACTGGCAAACTGGATTACGTCTCCATCCGCTTCGTGCTCAGACCGAGCACTCTTGGATGCAAAGACAAACTCGGGGGAGAGTCGGGTCAGTTGATAGTGGTGGTCATTTTCGTTGCCTGCTGAGATGGTGTAGAATGCGTGTGTGTAATGATGCCCCCATACGGCAAATGGCTTGTGGGCTCCCTTGTGGAAGTGTCCAATGCCAAGGTATTCGTTGGTTTCGGGCAGATACAACAAGAACCCATTGGTTCCATGAAAATGGCTTGTCACGCGCTTTTTCTTCCTCTTGTTGGCAGTCCCCGCCTTTGGCCCAGAAGCTAGTGGTTGGCCGTCCGGTTGCACTGCTGTCCCGTTGCCATTAACCCGCATAAAAGTGACTGGGTCAATCCACGGCAACACGGCAAGGGGGTTTACTGCGGATGGCGACGACGACATTGCCGTTGCAGTGTTGCTTGTTTGCTCCAGCACTCCAATGTTTCGTCCACAGCAGACCGGGACTGTATCTTGTTCGTCAATGCGAGCAACGAAAGTACTGCCATTGCCATCTTCAGCTGCTACTGGTGCAAAGTGAATTTGGTTGTGACTCTGAAAGCCACGGCGATTGCCATGAGAACTGATCCAAATCTGCCCATCATGAAGGAAGAGCCGCGGATCGTCAAACACGTCATGCGTATCAAATGCTTTATGATGTGGGCTGCTTTCACTGGCAATGTCGGCTGGATCAAGCTCAACGCTGTTGTTGCCAACTGTGCTGGAAGTGTCGGATGTTGCCAGCCGTCTCGCAGTTGCCTGCAAATACTGCAGTGCTGGGGTCAGGGTGATGGGTGTCTTCCAGAGAATGCGGCCGTGGGCATCAAGGATGGCGAAGAATGTGCCTTGTTCATACCGTTGATGTTGAAAGCCCTGCGACTGGAAGAGGTCCTCGGGTTGCTCTGGCTGCCCATAGTAGCACTGCATTGCTTCGGGCCTTTTAAACAGAACTGTACCCACAAAGGCGGGCTTAGCCTTGGTACTTGATGTCGCGTCGGTGGACTCCTTTGCGATGTCTGCAATTATCGTGTCAAGAAGTTGGAGCAGAGGGTGATGAGAAGGGAGTCGTTGCTTGACACGGGCCACGGACAGGATGGTTGGGTTGGTTCCATCTGCAAATGCCACGTAGTGAGAGCCGGCGTTAGCTCCTTTATCGTCAAGACAAATCTTGCCACCTCCTCCAAACTTTGGCGACGGCGTCAGTAGAATGGGAACTTCCCCATAGATGTAGTCAGCCTCTGCGAGGAATGGTCGAGCCGACTGTCCCTTGTTCCCATGTCTCCTGAGTCTACCTCGGTTATCATCATCGGCCAGAAAGTCACTGTTGTAGTACTGTTGGTCTGGGTACTCTCTGAAACCACAGGCGCCATGAGGAGCAATCATCTGCGCTGTGGACGCAACGCTGCTGCTGTTTGTGCCAGTAGCCAATCGAGCTCCCATTACATTCGGCTCATAGAACTGATTGATCACAAGGACCATGGCTATTGTTGCCAACATGAGTCTCACATGAGCTCGGAGAGGAGGAAGTTGCTCGATTGATACCCCTTCGACGTGCCTCACAGGCGACTTTCGCCTGACCCCCTTCGAATTGAAGCCGACGCTGCTACGACGGCTACTGCTGTCAGTGCAGCAACTTGGGAGCTGCTCATTGTATCCTTCCATATCCAAGGGAATCTGGTAGGGCATCTGGTACTATTCGAGGCATTAATGCATGGATGCATCGAAGGTTTGCTGATGGACGTACCTGGTACAAAAGATGTGAGAAAACGCCATGGGCGTTTTGTTGGCGGAGGTTTCCATTTGCCTGCCAGGTACCGTGTCGGCTTACACATGTACCAGTACACCAGTACTAATAAATAGAACGCTTATTCGCATACCTACATAGAACGATGACTTGGAAGAAATCTTTTCAAGTTTTCGTGTTTTAAAGTATTAAAATACCCACATAGTGGTGTTCACCACCATGAATTTATTTAAGTGTCGGTCTTGATAAAAAGGGCACCTTTAAATAGAAGCTTGCGCAGGATTGAATGAATCTTCAGGCTGTCGACTGTCGACGCTGCCGATTGTTCTGAATTTTAAAGCCGCATACTGAGAAGTAAACCTCCCTTGATACTACTAGCTAGCAAGCTACCAGGAAGGCCCCGTCATGCGACTTAAAGTCCCGGATCGGTCAAAGTCGCGTAGGATCGCTGAAAGTCGTTCACAAAGTCGCGTGCGAGTCGTGTGTGAGTCGCATGCGACTTTTGCACGACTTTCCAAATGACTTTCAGCGATCCTACGCGACTCTGTCACCTTGCTTATAGTCGTGCGAGAAAGTCGCACGCGACTTTCATGCGACTTGCATGCGACTTTTCATACGACTTTTGATGCGACTTTGATGCTGTGTGCGACTTTATGCTATTTTTTGGCGACCAGCTGTCACGTGACCGGGCCTTCCAGGAAGTAAGACAATCGGAGAAAGATGTCAAGTACTGAGACTTGCTGGAATAATGCTAAGATTCCGATACATTGGAGATTGGAGACACTCAGATCTGCACTTTACTAGAGAGCTAAGATACCCAGTAAGCACTCTCCCTTGGGCACATAAGAGATTGAGAAATGATACAATGACAGCTTTTCTAGGTCAAAATACCTTAAAAACAGGTGCAAAAAGTCAAAGCATTTGGCTCTGGCAGGTGATAAAGCGCTCTTTCCGCTCTTCACATTAGGGTACGTTGAGTAAGGTGGGAAGAAGCAGAGTATTCAAATCACTTCTTTCCTAATCAGAGTATTAACAAAAGATACTACATTACCCTGTTGATGGATCCTGAGCTAAGATAAGTTCAGCAGGAATATTTATAGTTCTGCAAACTCCTACCAGTATGAGATCCCCAAAGTGGAGTTGCGGGGAATCGGCTCTTGAAGCTGTTCCTTTTTTGGTCACCAACAAATTGTGTTAATCTTCCACTTTGAACCATGCTTCCAGATTGTGTCATTCTGCCATATTGTGTCATTCTTCCAGATTCCGTCACCTGGTACTAATTCTACGTGTTTTTACGTAGAGTCTTCAAGTTTGCGTCTTTCTTCCAGATTGTCTCATTCTTCCAGATTGTGTCATTCTTCTTTTTTCAGTCATTCTTCCAAAAGAAAACAGTTGGAACTGCCTGATGAACACGGAAAACAGGTATTCCCGCAACTCCAGTTCGGAAGCAAACTTAGAAATAGCTTTTAATATCAAGGTACCGGTACTGGTAGGCGCTTAGTACACTTTTAGTACCTATATTGTGGATAAGCATGCTTTCGGATTTCGGTCGATAAAAGCTAGACTAAAATACAGTGACAACGCTAAAACTACCTTCGAAAACAGTTTTAACTCCTGGAAGCGACTATTAATACAGTATGAAGCAGTAGTTGAGGTGAATCTTGTTTGTAGTATCAATATTTATTACCTCATCTACCTTATGATAAAAGCGTTCTTCGCAACGAATGCAAAGAATGGCTTTTCTGTACATGTAAATCGTTTCCGAGCTTGTCTTGGATCAACATGGTCCCCACTTTGCTCATTGACGGCTGCCTTACCAGTACAGTGTACCTGTCACGATATTATGGGGGGGGTTAGGCAGCAGCGCGGGGGAGGGAAAAGAAAAGAAAAGGGAGAGGGTTAACCTTTCGATTCCTGATTCCCACTTGGAGAGCGGGCAGGACCGCAATCTTTCGACAAACGGATACAGAAGAGAGGGGAAATGGCAACGACTCAATCTTTGCCCTAATTAAAAAGGTCATCGCCCCTCTGACGCCCCTCTGAGGTATGTTCTTCAGACAGTGTATATGTCATCAAATATGTCACAGCAATTCAAACCAAGTCAACGGACACTTGCTCTTTTCCCATCCTTCGCTCGAAGCAAACCCTCCCACAATTCGAAATTTGGCGGACCTCTCTCCGATCGATCAACGATTATTTCCTGGTGCATTTCGATACCAACAACAAGCGACAATGAGGATCTCAACTACTTCAGCAGTCTTCTCGAAGTGGCTGCGAAGTGTCAATACATACTACCCATTCAATGAGTTGAAGGCCACAAGGCATGGATTCACCTGCCAGTATGTGATTTTAGAAGAGGTGGTGGATCCTAGGATCGACGTCGTGGATCTCAGGATCAACAACAACGAGAAGAAGTACAGCTGTGTGCGCACAAATAGCTTTGATGTGCCCATTCTTGAGGAGATGATAATGCAAGGAGGATGCAAGCCTCTTCCTCCTGACATGACAGGCATCATGGATTACATGTTTTATTGGGGCCTTCAGAAAAGTCCAAAATGGTAAGTTCTCTCCACCCTTTCTGAAATGCTGGAGGGGCCAGAACCATGTGAAAGGAAGGACATCTTCATTGAGTGCATCTATTGGTTAGTGAGGGAAAGGATCAGTGAGAGCTATGAGTTGTCGTCCAATGAAGGACACATGGCGATGGATGCTTGGCATGGGTATTGTTCGCACTGGTATGACAACAACAACCAAATCTCCTTCAAGATATTGACTTTGATGAGTGAGACTTTTGTTGATGATTGCATGGAAGACATGCTCAACCTTGGATTCTTGCAACCACACCATGCTGTCCATTGTGGAACCTTACTGTAAGTTAATGGCTACATTAGAAATGAATTTGATGCATCTAAATATTTATTGCTGTTATGCCACGTATCCATTTAATCAAGTTCGACAGGTGGCATCATGAGGTGGTCTTCCTCTCCTATGCGTCAACCAGTGGCAGTATCCGTGACAGCAACCATTTGGTGGTGGTGGCTGGAAAGGAGATGGCAGTATTGGTTGGAATTGCCGCATTTGCACGGCGAGTTGCATCATTTGAATCTGTTGTTGTTGAAATCGAAGCATGTTACTCATGTAATTGTTTGTTGTTTGTGCCACAGCTGCTTGGGTTGGTGGTGGAGGTGGCTGTGGTGGACCGATTGCTGGTGGTTCTGTTCGAGGTGGTTGACCGATTGCTGGTGGAGGTGGTGGATCGATTGCTGGTGGACTTGGTGGATCGATTGCTGGTGGACTCGGTGGTGCTCCAGTGCAAGCTGCACAAAGACAACAATCATTGGGTGTGTACTTTTGTCTCTGTGGTTTGAATCCAGTAATGAAGTCTGAAAAGAATCTCTCTCCATTATCCTGTGGCAAGGGCTCTGCATTAGGAAATGGTTCGTCGAGACCCACAGCCACTGCTAGGTCATTCAGGTAAGCCAACTCTGAATGGTTCCAGTATGGAACAACCTTTTCCCATCCAGCTGGAATTGACCTCCTTTCTTCCAGACTGATTCTTGACAGGAAGGCTCTCTTGTGTCGAATGTTGAGGTTGTATCTGGCTGTTCCAGCCAGGTTGAGGGCATCTGCTAGACTTCTTCTCATGCCACTATTGGCGAAATGGGCAAACTTGTCATGGAATGCTTCCAGTTTGGATTCTCCTCTCCTTGACAGATACTCTGGGAGGCTGTGCTTGGAGTTGGGTGATGGGAGGATTGTGTCATACATGTCTTCCAAAGGCAGTGGATCAGCCAAGTGAATGGCTTTGTCAACACAGTTCTCTACTGCTGGCTTGGTATCAGAAGTGAACAAGGTAAAGTTCTTCATTGGATCCAGTCGGCCCTGTCCTGGCTGGCTACCATCACTGGCAGTCACCTTGTATCTGCAGAACCACTGTTGCAACTTCTGTCTCATGGTCTCTGGTTCTCTCATCTTCTTCCTTAGATATTTGGAGTACCTAGCTCTGAAGACCTTGGAAGCTTGCATATCGGAGATCTCTGCCATGGAGTAGCACTTGCCATTGGTGGACAAGAGGCCATGTTTCAATGCATGGAGAAGTTTCTCATAGTCAACTGGTGAGTACACGTACAAGCAATCCAAGAGGTCCGTCAGTGCTTGAGAGTAATCAATGTGTCCTTTCCTCAAAGTTGACAGGATTCTCTTCTCATAATGAAACAGGCCTAGCCTTCCCTCGATTCCTGGAAAGAGTATCTCCCAGTAGTCATCCTTGTTGGGCCAAGTGTCGCTGTACATGGCAGCAGGGTTGAAGTGGCTCCTCCTTGCTAGCTGCATGGCAGCATGGGAGAAGTGGATTGTCTTGGTGGTGGGAACAAGAACGGCAGAGGCAATCTCACCAGTCTCTGTGGCAGCATCCCAAACAGCACCGGCACCAAGACTCTTGGAGTAGTTCTTGACAACCTGAAAGGTATGGTCTTGGCAGAAGATTCCTTTGTCGCACTTGACACTTTGGATCTCTCTTGTGTGCCTTTGGTTGTGCACTACGCTAAAAGCTAGTGTAAAGATCTTTCGAGTGTTTTGAGTTTGAAAGAATGAGTTATGAGAGGATTAGAAAGCTATGAAAACATAATTCCAGCGTTGGCTTTATCGAAAAGACTTTTTGCAATACACGGCTCTTAGCCTTATTCGCGACTCGATCCTAGATAGGGTTTGAGTTCGACTCATGACCGAGTCTCTCGTGAATAGTCATTTGAGACAGGGTTCTCAATGACCGCGCTAGTCATACTAGGTTGATGATGAAACATCGCTCTAGATATTTAGCCAGCGTGGAGTACTTCCACGCTACTAGATCCAGGCTAGACAAACCTTCCACGCGTTCCGTTTTAGGATCGTGGAGAGACGTAGGATTACTACCACAACCTACTCTATCACACTTTATAGTCTCCCGCGGGAAGCCAGATCTACGATCCTTTGATGATGATCTCTCTCGTTGATTAGTTTTCATAGC